GATGCTGATGAGTATGAGTGTTTATCTTCTGGTGTATCTACACTGAATAAGGAGACAGTAGCAGAGTGGCAGCAGCAGCGGCTGCTGCTGCTGCTGCAGCGGCTGCAGCAGCAACTGCCTGCAGACATTTGCTGCTACGATATTCGACCCGTCACCAAAAACTTTGATGCAAGGTTAGGGTTTAGGGTTTAGGGTTTAGGGTTTAGGGTTTAGGGTTTGTGGTTGTAGTTGTATAGTAGATGAATGCTGTTTGCTGCTGCTGCTGTTGTTGCTGCTGCTGCTGCTGTTGCTGCTTCTGCTTTTTTTCTCGTGCTGCTGCTTCCTGTTGCTTATTATTATTATTATTGTTATTACTATTGTCTTTATCTCCTGCTGCTGCTGCTGCTGCTGTTGCTGCTGCTGCTGCTGCTGCTGCTGCTGCTGCTGCTGCTGCTGCTGCTGCTGCTGCTGCAGGGTGAGCTGCTCTCGTCGTGTGTATGAGTACATACTGCCCCTGTGGCTGCTGCAGCCAGCAGCAGTAAGAAGAGATTTACTTTGCTGCTACTCTCGCTGCATGCAGACAGACGCAGCAGCAGCAGCAGCAGCAGCAGATGCTGCAGCAGCAGATGCTGCAGCAGCAGATGCTGCAGCAGCAGATGCTGCAGCAGCAGATGCTGCAGCAGCAGATGCTGCAGCAGCAGATGCAGCAACAGAAGCAGCAACTACCGCAGCAAGCGAGGAAAATACAACAACAGCAGCAGCAGCAGCAACTGCTGCAGATGCAGCAGCAGCAAGAACTAGTGCAGCACCAGCAGCAGCAGATGCAGCAGCAGCAGATGCAGCAGCAGCACACCCAGCAACAGAAGATGCAGCAGCAGCAGCAGCAGCAGCAGCAGCAGCAGATGCTCCTCCTGTCAGCAGCGACATCCCCCCCCATTGGGCCTCTCTCTACCCAAACCCTCCACCGAAACTATCTGACCAAGAGCTCGTTGTAAACCCTAAACCCTAAACCCTAAACTCTAAACCCTAGATCATGAGAGAGTTTAGGGAAAGTTCTTCGTTTGTTTCAGGGTTTAGGGTTTAGGGTTTAGGGTTTATGTTGCAGGAGCGTCTAGGAAAAGTTCTTGGTTTATATGAGGGTCTAGAGTCTAGGGTTTAGGGTCTAGGGCCTAGGGTTTAGGGTTTATGTTGCAGGAGCGTCTTGGGGCCCGAAGAATTAGGGTTTAGGGTTTA